AGCAGTCGCCAACTTAACACAGTTGAACTATATGAACTTTTATTTGTGAGTTTGCTTCCAATACATCCACCTACCCAACCAAGATGGCACGGCACCCTTTCCAGCCGGGGGATCGAGTCCTCCTCAAAACCTGGAGAGAACGAGGACCTGGGCATCAACTTGCTGCTAAGTGGACAGGACCATAAAAGGTGCTGCAGAACACTCATTCCTCTGATAAATTAGCTAGGATAAGACCATGGATTCACCACACCTGAGTAGAACTCACTCCTCCAGAGACTGGACGGGATGAAGAAAAGCAGACTTGGCCTTGTGAGATGCTAGGCAATATTAAGTTGCTGTTCTGAGTCAAGTCTCTTACCAGATAATTGATGATGACTCTTGCTCTTCTCTCTGGTTTCACTACACTGGTGACAGCCACTTTTTGGAAAGGAAATGCTTTAATAAAGCTATTTCAAGTGTGGCCAAAGGGGGAAAATAACCCTCTGTTTTTGAAGATATAAAGTTCACAGGCAGAGCATCATGGGCAGCCTTATTCCAAGTTTATGTGTATGTTCAAGTGCTTGTCTAAGTGTTGTGACCGGGCCATAAAAAGGGTATCCACATCCCCATGATTCAAACTGTTCATGCCCAGCCTGGGACTCGGGAGTACTTCCAGCCCCAAGTTGACCATTTCCATTACACAATGACCCTATCTTCACACCTGTTTGGTAGGAAGTAGCCAGAATGGCCCTCACCCCTTTTCCTACAAGATTGTGGAGTGGGCATTGACAGAGAGGAGCTGTAACAGAGAACACACCTGGGACCACATCGGACCTAGTCCTCTAGCTCTCACCTTTGTGCTCTGTTTGCTATGCTGAGTTCTGCTGGCTCTGCACCTTGTAAAAGAATGATGCCTATAGCCAGAAATATACACAGTAGCCCTTTCTCAAGGCTCTGCCTCTCAGGCTTGACCTTTAAAGGTGTAACACTTTTCCATCCATATAGAGATAAAAAGATGCAGAGCAGAGAATAACAGTTGTCTTGGAGGTTCATTGTGACAAGACCTACCTGGACAGCTGTAATAACAAAGGGTCATCACATCCCTTCCAGGGTCTGGCCAGCACCAGGAAGTCTGCAGTAACCAGCCACACTCCATCTGCTTTTAATATAAAAGGACTCTTGAGTTCTCACTCAGGTAAGAAGGTTCTTTGGGACACTGGTCACCCGTCTTCTTGGTCCGCTGGCTTTCCAAATAAAGCCGTTATTCCTTGTCTCTACACCTCGTCTCTCAATTTATTGGCCTTTTATGTGGGGAGCGGGCTTCCCCGCTCAGATGGGTGATTCAGATGGTAAAGAATCTGACTGCAATGCCAGAGACTTGGGTTCGATCCCTGGGTTGGGAGGATCCCCTGGAGAAGGGAATGGCAGCCCACTCCAGTATTCTTGCCTGGAGAATCCCATGGACAGAGGTTACAGTCTATGGGGTCACGAAGAGTTGAACATGAGTGACTAACACTTTCACTTTTTTTTCACTTTCATGTGGGAAGCAGTATAAACTTGGGCTCAGGAACAGGGTAAACAAAGCTTTAACTAAACTTATTTTGGTAAATATTTTACAATCTATACATGTATCAAATCATCAAATAATAAGAGTAACTTACACATTAACACTTAAACTTATTTAATATTGTATGTCAGTTATATTCAATAAAGCTGGAAATAAATATTGGGGAAAAATTTTTAAGCAAAAAGAAAATGTGTCTGTCATTCTCCAGGAGTCTCCTTTGGGTTGGAATATTTCTAAACCTCAACAGAATCGGGCAGAAGTTCTACAGGCTCATTTGCAGGTTGAAGCACAAGTGTCCCTTTATTCCAATATGAGTTTTCATTTGCAGGCTAACTCTTAAATAGTGTTTGCTAACCACCGCTATTCTGCATTGTAATTTTTGTACCTGTGCCACACATCACCAGCCTGACTCACTTGTTTGCGCACTGATTTATTAGGTATTTATTTATTACGTTTTTTTTTTTTTTTTTTTGCAGTGTTGGGTTTTTGTTGCTGGACTCAGGCTTTTCTCTAGTTTTGGAGCACAGGCTCTAGGGCTCAGAGGCTTCAGTAGTTGTGGCGCACAGGCTTAGCTGTTCCGCGGTACATGGGATCTTCTTGGACCAGGGATCAAACCTGTGTCCTCTGCTTTGGCAGGCAAACTCTTAACCACTGGGCCACCAGTGAGTCCCTCAGTTATTTATTAAGCACATCCTGCATGCCACACCCTGTGCACACAGCTAGTTATTTGTTTGTGACACGAACAGGGCAGGGTCTCTACCCGATCCCTCCACGGTCTTGATCTGGGTTTGGCTTCCACATTTCAAGCTTGCAAAAAGAGACCGCTCTGGGAACATTGAGCAATCGGCCATTATCCAAAGGACAGGGGAGTGGTCTGTCTTGCCTCTGTCCTCCTGGTGCTGTCTTCCCCCTCCTGGTGTCTCCACCTCTCCCCAGCACTCCCCAAGGCCCAGAGCTTCGAGCTGGACAGCCAGTCAGCACACATAGCCCAGCCCATCAGACAACCTCTGGCTGTGGGATACCCCTCAGTTTTACTCAAAGAGCATGGCTTTGATAACCAAAGAAATCTGCAGTAGCTGCGTTCTTGTGAGGGAGTGGTATATACAGGTGAAACTGGCAAGCCTTTAAGTTACAGTTTGGTAAAGAGCTTGCGGACCCACAATGACTGGGAGTCACATTGTCCTAGTTCAGATCCTGATCCTGCCACTCAAGCTGTCTGACCTTGGTAAAGTTATTTCTCTGAGCCAGAGTTTCCTTATTGTGAAAAATTAGGCTAATTACCCATAAGTCAAAGATAGTGTGAGGATTAGCAATGACATATGTAAAGCATGTCATATGGTGCTTGGAACATTGTGGGCCCTCAGGAAATGAAGACTTACTATTCAAGGCAAGAAGGTCCCAAACAGGGTAATAAAAAATCTGTGTTCAGGGGACTCATGGAGGAAGGAACATTGTCTTACTAAGAGGTTCTGGTGGAAGCTTTCACCTGGGAGCACAGGCCAGAAGGACCAAGCTGTATAGAGTGAAGAGGGTGGGTGATAGGCCTCACATACTGGGGGGCCACTCAATGTGCCACCTTCTCTTGGGGTCTCTGGGACTTTGAACACTAATGCCTATCCCCTTAAAACTGGCAATCCCCTCTTCACTGCCTGTGATCCTGTTCCATCCCAGCTGCTCCCTTGATAATGATTCTTGAGTGACAGTGGGTTGGGAGGGACTTAACAGGATCTGGGCCTGGGCTGGTTGAGTCTGTGCAGGGATCTAGGAGGCAGAGTCAATTCTGGATTGGCTGCTGCCAAGAAGCAGGGGAATTCTGTGATTTGGGATCTAATAAATTTTACCTGGGATGTGGGAGTATAGAAATGGGCTAGAGTTGTCCCTGGTAACGGGGCAACAATCACCAACATTGGTCCAGAGGTATATGTGGGAGGGTGGGGCCAGTCTTTTTGTCATTGTGGAGTGACCCTGTCTGAGCAGCATTGATGTTCAGGTGAGAACTTAACAGTCAGGCAGCCAACGGGGGGAGTTTCCCTCTTGCATTAGGGAATCTAACATGGTGGAGCCCCCAGGATGGGGACAGTGAGAACAATGGCCATGACTGCATGCGCAGCTCAGCCCACAATTCACAAAGCTCTCCCACAGGAATTCCCTTTCAGGGCAGGAGCCTGAAATCCGCGGAGGTTAGAGTAACTCCAGGCACTCAGCTGGTGGATTGAGGGGTAATGGACAGGAAGTCCACCCCAGGTCAGAAATTTACATACATGCAGTGTCTTGGCTATTTCTCTGCAGATTACCAAACCCAGAGTGACACCTCTGGGCAGACTCGGAGTGGAGAACCATCACTCCTTCCTAAAGGGCTTTCCTCCTGGCCTTGAGAGAGCAGCAGGTGAGGGGGAATGGAAAATGGAGGGGTTGTTGATGGGCGGGGAGGAGCAGGCTGGTGAATTGAGTGCTCGGTGGCTCAGTCATGTCCAACTCTTTGCAGCCCCGTGCACTGTAGCCCACAGGCTCCTATGCTCCTTGAAAGTTTCCAGGCAAGGATACTGGAGTGAGTTGCCATTTCCTGCTCTTAGGGGTCTTCCCAACCCAGGGGTCGAACCTGGGTCTCCTGCATTGGCAAGTGGATTGTTTACCATTAATGCCTCTTGGGGAGGTTGGGGAATCATTTCCTAAATGAAAGCCTTGGGGCTCCACCTTCTGGTCATCATATGAACTGCTGGCCCAGGCCTCGCTGAGGCGTGTGTGGGCAGCAAGGTCTCCTGGGCTCCGAGTCAGGCAGGCCCTCTGCCAGGCACATTATAGTCAGGGGCTCATTTGACCCCTCAGCCTGGTGACCTGAGAGCTGTGTGTACTCAGCCCATCATATAGATGGTAAAACAGAGCTGAAGTCAGACTTTACCCAGGAAAAGAGGGCTGAAGCTGGGCATTTAGGCCTTGCCTTGTCCAGTCATGGAGCTGCGGGTACAGCACAGACTCCACTTCCCAATTATGAATTTGTAAGTGCTGCTTAAAGTCAGACCACCAGCTAAGCTGTGAAACTGGAGAGTCATTTTTGGACTCGATAAAGGGCTTCCTAATTTCATAAAGTGCTTTCACACCGTTTCTTGTAGGCCTCACAGAACCCTAGAAAGGAGGTTCATGAGGCATGCTTATCTCCACTTCACAACCAAGGAAACAGAGGTGCAGAGATAATGACATCATCATCATCATCATCCTAGTTATTAATGTGTACCCCGAGCCAAGCCCTGTGCTGCGTGCTTTGTGGTGGTTACCTTGTCTGTATGCAAAGAGCAGGTTCTGGTCCCATTTTACAGAAGAGGATGCAAAGGCCTAGAGAAGGGCACAGTTCAGGACCCAGAGCTGCAGTCTGACTTTGGACTCCTAGCTCTTGCTTAGCGCCCTGTACCAACTCGTGACTCTCATGACTCTCTTTGGGCCACAGGTCTGGTAAAAGATGAGCAGCAACTGGATTCTCTCTTCTCTGATGCCCTGCACAGTGTTCTTTCTACCGTATCACACTGGCTCTGATGTCCTCTTTCAGCATCTGCAGGTAATAATACACTTGGAGACTTAAAAAAAGACCAGTTACATTCAGTTCTTTGGGGAGAAAAAAATGTTGGCATGATGAATGAGGGCAGACTCGCAGTCTTGGGGATGCATGTTTGATGGGTGCATTGCCAGAGGTGGAGGTCAAGGCTGCACTTCAGGCCAAGCTCACAACTTAGCCTGACCTTAGCATGTCCTGAAGATTCTTCTAAAGCTTCTCTGAGAGGTGGCAGAAACCTGTGCCGGTGGGTCAGTCTCTCCTGGGAGTCATGGTTTCAAAATTGCAGTGTCTGGAGCTGCACTGTCCAGCACAGTGGTCATGGGCCACATGTGACCACTGGAGATGTGGTTAGTCCTAATTGTACTGGCATGTAAGTATAAAATATTTACCAGGCTTTTGAACACTTAGCATGAAAAAAAAAAAGAATGTTCCCTATCTCATTCATAATTTTTGTGTTAATTGCATGTTCAAATGATAATATTTTAGAGGTATGAGATTTAATAAAATGTTTTAATAGCAGTAATTTTGCGTGTTTCTCCTTTTAAAATCACTACTAGGAAATTATGTAGGTGGCTATTGCTGTTGGACACTATTGGAAGGCACTGATCTAAAGCTTTTGGTCATTTACGACATATACTGGAAGCCAGACACCCCTCGGAGCTGTCCCACAGAGCAGCCCGCTTGTCCCACTCTCTGCGAGATTTTGGAGTCGGCCAGTGGTGGAGTGGGAGTGAGGGAGAGGTGGCCTCAAGGCTTTGTCTCTCTGCCAAATGGGCACACGGAAAAGTTTCTGCAGCCTGGTGACAGGGGAACAGAAGAGCAGCCCATTTTCTATGTGAACCACACTTCTTCCTTTGGCCAGGATCCCTTGGGTTAAACTCCTGCTACACCACACTTCGGCAGCTATGAACTCGCTTCAGGTCCTCAGACTCTAAGCTTTTTCTGGCCTTCGCCCTTCCCTCCCATTCCTCCGTCCCTCCTCTCTCCCCGCTCCTTGCTCCCCTCCTCTCCCTCCTTGGCTGTCTCTTTAGATGGCAAGTGGGTTCCACAAAGCGGTCTCCCCAGCCCTCTCAGCTGTACTAGATCCCCCACCCCATCAGTTCAGTCCTTCATTTCGTCTTCAGAGGACCGGCCCCACCTTCCCAGCACCCTCCTGAATGTGGAGCGTGTGTGATGTCTGTCTCCCCGTTAGACAGAGGCACCGTGAGGGCAGGGACGTGCTTATCTACTGCTGTGAACTGGCGCCAGCACGGTCCCCTTGTAACAGGGAAGAACAAACCTGACTCCATATCGGATCTGTTCCGCCTAACCTTTGTACTCTCTTGCTTTTGTTTCCAGTTAAGAATGCTGCCTATAGCCTGAAATACGCCGGAGAGCCCATTCTCAAGGTTCTGACCTTAAAGACATAGCACTGTGCCACTCCTATAGAGGTAAAAGGTTGCAGAACAGAGACTAACGTTTGTCTTGTTGGGGGTTTACAGGAACCTTGTGTCCTGACCTACGTGGACACTGCTGCACTTTTACCTCGTCAGCACTTCCTGCCGCAGCCGCCAGAGGGAGCCAGTCACAAGGGCAGCTCGGAAGGGCGGCCGCCGCCCACAGCCGCCGGGGGGCGAGTGCCTGAGGGGCGGAAGCTGGACCTGGAGAGCTCCCGCAGCTGGGCCTTCCGCCTCACCGAGGGCCGCCCCCTACTCCAGGGCTTCTCTCAGAGGGGCTGTGGTCACCCAGTCGAGCCCAGCTCAGCCCTATCCTTTGGGAGATCCCAGGCTTCTCGGGAAACAGTACCCAAGCCCTAAAAATCTCCGAGTAAGTCTGCTTGTCTCGGGGACCCCCCCCCTCAGGCTGAAGGGGAAATGGTGAAAGGGGGCAGATGGCTGGTGGGCGCAGGCGCTGGGTGCAGGGCCAGGGGTGGGGCACTGGAACTCAACCTCGGGGCTCCCCCCCTCCAGATGGAAGAGGAAGAGCGGAAGCAGTTCTGCCTGGAAAGGTCGAGAAACTGGGCAGGGCCAGGCGGACTCAGCAGTCACCCAGCAGTGTCTCCATCCCTGCTCTCCAGGCCGAGCCCGGGGGCTGCACCCTGTTCCGAGTCCCCACTCACCTCCCCCTCTTCTCAGGGAGAAGGAGCCGGGCAGGAGGGTGGAGACAGGTGCAGAGACAGACACACAGACAGACAGGCTGGCAGAAAGCAGGTGTGCCGGGCGGGAGCGAGAAGGAGAGAAAGCCCGGCATCAGGAGAGAACGCTCGGCTTGAAAGGACTTCTGTGAGAAAGACTGAAAAGGATGCTCTGGGGGAGCATTCAGGAGAACAAGTCATGTATTCACTGAGCACCCCTCCTGCCCCCACACTCAGAAGCCTTTTGCAGGCAGACCTGAAACCCTGATGGATGCACACCTCAAGGCCTGCTTAGCTAGGCTTCTGCCTCACACCAAAACACACAGAAATGACAGTACTGACTCACAAAGTTTACCAAACACAAGGAAAATGGTAAAGCACAAGAGTGAACAAGGAATCTGCTGAAGACATGGGTGGGGCGGGGTTGGGGGGGAAGCGGAGATTGGATGAGGGAGGAGGGACAGAGAAGTTAAAAGGCCCGGTGGGGGAGGAGAAGGATGAGGTCATGAGGCCCACCAGGCCACTCTCCGGGGCCCTGGGGAACATCCAGAGGTCACTGACATTCAGGTCAAGGGGTGAGGCAGCTGGACAAGGGGGCCAGGTCTCAGTCCTGTAACTGAATAGATTTTTCCCTGGAGGCCGACATGGAAAAGCTGCCTGGTTCCCTTCAAGAGCTCCTCGAATTCAGCTGTGCACCTGTGCACCTGGTGATGGGTGGTCTTTGGGGACACCACACTGTGGGTGACCAGGGCTCAGAAGGCTTCCTGCTCAGGTAACACCTGGACGGGGGGAACAGTCAAGCAGACCTTCAGAAAGGCAGGCAGCTGGCACACACAGGGTTCGTGAAACTGCCCATTCTTCTCTGTCGCTATTGGCAGCTGCTTTTCCACTGACCCTTCATTTGCCGGGTGACCAATTCTGAACAACACGTCTGGGGTGCACGGGCCGATGCGACATCTCACGGATGATGGCATCTGGGACCTCGCTGTGACCAAAGGGCGCTCACTGCTCAGAGAGTCAGAGCTGTACGTAAGTTGACCGGCAGGGGCCATGGGCAGCTATTTTCGAAATGCTTTTGAGTCATTCTTTCAGCCCTGCCTCTGTGTGTGAGAAGCAGGGGTGGCTGGGGGGCTGAGCCCACGCATGTGCCCGCTTTCCACTCAGCATGATGAGACGGCGAGTCCACATCCTCCTGAGGGCCTCTCCAGGAGATCCACGGAGTGTGCTTGCCTGCTTTTGGCCTGTTCTAGCAGATTCATGGAGCCCTGAGCTGAGGCTGGGGGTACGATAGGGGTGCAGAACTTTGAATCCCAAAGGTTCAGTCTGGAGTCTCTGCCTTCCAGAGACTATGCCTATGTCAAATCCTGGAAGGGATGAAAGACAGTGGGCTGAGGAAAAGAAAGAAAAAGGTAGAGGAAAAAAATGCAAAATAGAAAGAGGGTTTCCAGGTAATATAGTCAATGAGAAAGTCTAGGGCCACCCTTCTAGTTCAGACTACCTAAGAAACTGGGTGACTATTTTAAAATAAATGACCGATGTGGCAGAAAAGCCCAGAAAGATCTCAGAGCCTGGGATGCAAATTCAGAAAAGTGAGGAAAACTGGAGCCTGCATCAGCCTGGGCACCCTGGGGTCCCTGAGGTCGGGAGCCTGGTCTTCATGAGCTGTACCCCTGCAGTGAGGAGACAAGGAGACAAAGGCTGGGCTGGGAAGGAGGGAGTCTGTCTGAGGCCCACACAGAGCCAGAGTCCTCAAAGGACAGCCCCCTCAGTGCCTGTCTTAGCTCCGTCCCTAGAAAGCAGAGGCTGACGCAAAAAGCCTGTGTAGTAATTGCCATATTGGGATGTGTGAGTCAGGAAACAAAGTGAAGGGAAAAGGGAAGTGGGGCTGGGAGAGGAAGAACAGGACACATGGTTTATTCCTGAGCTGGCCATTGCTTCACAAGGAAGAGCCCTGGTCACCAGGGCGTGTGGGACCTCTCCCAGAGACACGGGGAGCCCCCGCCTCTTAGAACAGTCACCTGCAGGGGCAAAGGGCAAGCGGTTTAATCCTCTCTTTCTCTTAAACCTCTCTGGTCCACGTTTCGCCCCTGGGGCGTTCACTTCCCTGCATTTCTGGGTTCTGTAACCTGGCCTCTCTGGGCAGCCACTGGGACAGCCAGAGGCTGTGTGGGTACAGGCAGGTCAGACCTAGAGGCACCGCGGGCACGTTTGCGGGTGCAGTGGACGTGACAGAGGCTGCCCCACCGCCGTCACCTAACCCCTGGGGATGCTGACACAATGGGACACTCCAGCTGGGAAGCAGTCAGTGTTCGGAAGGCCAGCAGGGCTGAGCAGGCTGGGAAGGCACATAAGCTGGGTCAAGTATGGACTCTCTATTGAATCAGGTAGTTGATTGATAAAGGGCTATTTAGGGACTTCCCCGGTGGTCCAGTGGCTAAGACTTCACGCTCCCAACACAAGGGGCCTGGCTTGGATCCCTGGTCAGGGCACTAGATCCCATGTGCCACAACTAAAGGTCCCGTGTGCCCCAGTGAAGATCTGCTGCAGCTAATTTTTTTTAAAAGGGTGGAGCTATTTACAAAGATAGGGGCAAATAGCAGCCCCACAGGGACTGAGGCAGCAACCTTGTCCCCACAGCAAGGGGACAGCAAAATGAACTGCTACCACTTTTAGGCTTAAAAGGACCAAGGGAAGGAGAGGTTTCCAGAGCTGGAAGCAGAGAGTCGAGTAGCAGATTAGGGATCTTGCTGGGAGAACCCTAGTCAAGCTGAGGCAGCGTCACAGGAAGGGATACAGAGGGCTACATACCTGATGTGGTGAAAATAGATCCAAATAGGCAGAGCAGGGTGGAAAAGGCAGAATTTTAGGTAAAATTCCAAGTAATATGAGTTCACAATCAAAAATCCAATCAAATGGAAAATCAAAACATACGGGGAACTGAGCCAGCAATGATCAGAATTAACCAAAAACTTCAAACCTCGAGACCAAACCCATGAGGACTTTGGATACAGAAACTGTAGATAAAGACTAAAACTAATATATTAATGTAGTTCAAGAAATAAAAATAGTGGAATATGATGAAATAACAAGGCTGTGGAAATTACTTTGTGTGATATAGAAAACAATAGATACTCTGGAAATAAGAAATTCAAAATGACTAAAAATGCAAAATGCAACAGATGAGTTAAGGTTAAACTCAGGAGAAGAAGAATTTGTGAACTTTAAGAAAGCTCTGAAATATCAGAATTGCCCTGTAATACAAAAGGGTAGAAAAAATTAAGGAAGGTTAGGAGGCATGGATCACAGGATGAGGAGGTATGAGCCTGTGTCTAATCAAACTCTCAGAAGATTGTGATGGGCAGACTTGAGGTGGTCCAATGATCCCCTCAACTGCCGTTCACACCCTTGTATGATCCCCTCCTCTTGAGCTGGGCAGGACCTGCAACTCGATTCTCACCATGGAATGCGGACATGGTAAAGGTGATGGCGTATCACTTCTGTGAATTACGTCACGTTAGAGTGTCTTCTTGCTAGCAGATTCTCAATAGACTCTTTACTCGCAGGGTCTTGTCAGGAACAGAGGATGGTGCATCTTGGAAAATTGTCATAGTCTGTGGTTGAAAGAAGTTCAAGGACAGGATACGGTGAAAATAGCCTCAATTTAAAGATGTGATGGGAGCGATTCTCAGTTGGGAGAGGACAGCACAAGACGTGGCTAAGATGTCCAGTGGCATCTGTAGAATGTTTAGGAGCCATGCGCAAGTGATTGAAAAGGCGAAAAAGGTCATCCTCTGAAATAGAGTCTAAAGAGCTACAGGACGTGGTGCCAGGCCTGAGGTTTCCAAGGCTGGGCGCACACACACACTTTCACTCTCTGGTATGAAAAACTAATGTAGTGATGAGCTTACACCTTATTAGCAGGTGGGATTCCACTCCATCCAGGGATGGCAAATGTTAATATCATTATGGCAGAGTGCCATTGTTGAGATCTTATGGAACCAAACTTGGGTCTGCTTGCCCATGTGCAGTAAAAAGCCAAGCTACTGACTCTGAGTTGTGGTGAAGGAAACTGCAGAGTTTATTTTAAGGTGCCAGACAAGGAGTCTGGGTAACCTAATGCTCAAAAAAAAACTGAACTCCATGATGGGTTTTAGGGAGGGCATTTTTACAGGCCAGATGAGGGAAGGGAATTGAAGTGCATGTGTTCAGCTCTTGCACAGTTTTCTAATTGACTGATGGTGAGGTAACAGGGAAGTGTCACAGGGGCTAACATTATCAGTCCTCAGGCTCCAGAAAGTCTGGGGGCTACATACCCATGGTCATCAAGCAGTTAACTTTTTCCATTTGGTGGAGGTTTAAGCATCTGTAAGGCAACTCAGGAAATTTGCAGCAGATACTGTTATCTAGGTACATTCAGAGGGTAACTATAGCAGAGGACTTGGGGGGAGGGGTCTGTCTGGAAAGGCCCCACAAAGTCCTGCTTGGTTACAGAAAGAATATAGTTTAAAAAAGCGAAATCTTCTCCCAGCCCAGAAAAACCTCTCCACAAAGGCAGCAGCAGAAGAAAACACTTTTATTATTGAATATATATACTATATTAAACCAGAATGTGCATTTATACTATATATATTGACATATTGACATTGACGTCGCTCAGTCGTGTCCGACTCTTTGCAACCCCAT